CAAGAAAATTCCCCTGCCTTGACCTAGACAACCTGGTAGTATTCTGCCCACATGCGAATCATGGAATGGCTTTCTTTTCCATAAATATTATTGTACCATGATTTGTTTGCCGCAGTCTGGATTCAGCCGTGTGTGAAAATATAATAAAATATAGACGGTGTTCTAGGTTTCAATATTGGAAGCGCAAGCTAAAACTCAGTCAGAGACAGTATGGAAGCCAGAAACGGTCTTTGAAAAACGAATTTTAATTTATTTAGTGCAACTTGTGTGGAAAGTGTAGTATATAGTGTATTATCGTATAGTATAGTATATTATAGTATAGACCTGAATTCGCATACGAGATAAACTCCAGCTGACCTGTTTCGTCAAACCTTGACACCTCGTATTCATATTCTCTGTTGACCTCCAGTTATGCTACGAAGCGGAGGTTGAAAAGACGGGTGCGGTATGCCACACGATTGTCAGATATGTGAAGTAGGTTTCCATCCGCTAAGCATCAAAACACTTCTTTCCAGAGCGATTTCAGTCACATGAATTATCTACTCCCGCTGCTATCCCATACCACCCGTGCTAAGCTGCATACTCGCCTATGGCTAAAACCCATCGCGGAGAGACCTGCCTAAAAGCGTTGTGATAACTTGCAGGTCTCCACAACCCAAGCGGACTTTACAGAATGGCTTTTCTCAGCTACAGATCTAATTATCTATGAAAGGCTTATGGGAAGAAAACAGAAAAACCTGCCTCACAGGGCCAGCTGAATAGGCGCCTGGTGGCTCTTCTTCCGATGACGCTTGTTGCAGCAAATGAATACGGGGATGAGCAGTTTGTTGTCGGATCTAACGTAAGTAGTTTCATTGCCGCCCGGCTCAATGTCCTGCCCATCCCGTGGGGGTCTATGCGGTTCAAGAGCCCTAGGACCGGTTCCAATAATCGAAAGTTAGATCCTCTGGACTAAAGGAACCATCTCTTCTATTGTTCACGGTGTGTAACGGAAGAGCTTCAGACGTCCAGTGACATTAGAAGTTGAGTGAAAGTCCATAACCATCCCAGGTGTGTCTAAGGCGATAAATAGCGTTCTTAAATGCGTTATTTAGTTCAAGAAAGAGACACATCTAAGGCGAGACCGATGTGAACCAACGGATTTCATCTTCAATTCAACAATACAATGACGTCCACTTACGTCGTGTCCAGATAAATAGAATGCAACTGCGTGGACTGGGATGATGAGGAAGGCAAGAATTGAGCCAGAGGACTCGGAGGAGTCAGCATGTCCCAAGAAAATCGAAAGTCACCCGTGTGTAAAATGAACCGTTTCGTCGTGGGAATATGGAACAGGAACATTGCAGAACCGGGACAACTGTAAGAAATGAATAGAAATTATTACCAACGAAGATTAGCATATATCCATATGGCTAAAGAAAAACAATTTGATGATCCAACCGTCATATTTTGCTCGAGGTTAAAAGTTCGGTATAGTATTGTGATAAAGTGAAAACTGACAGAAACCCCATGAGAATTACAAAATTGAAACATTTGGATCCCGTAATGAATTTGAACAGGCAAGTCAAAAGACAAACACTGCGAGAAGAATTCCTTTCGCATACTCTCAGCGATCGCGTACGTGTAACATAGAACAGTGATGCACGTGCATCACACATTGTACACAATTACAGACACACACACATAAGTAATACTAACTAGATTTTTTAATTCGCTTCATTTGTCTATCCTATTCGATGTTATACGTACGCGACCGACGACAGTATACGAAAGGAATTCCTCTCGCAGTGTTTGTCTTCTGAATTGCCTGTTCAAATTACAAAATTTATCAATCATGGCAGCCAGAAAAAACGGATTGTTGACTTATTATATAGCTGTCATATTATTGAACGAAGCCCAGAGGTATCCCGGGCGTCAAATGGTGTTCGACATGCTCGATCACCAGTGCATAACTCGTAAACGAAAGTGAAACAGTTTTTTGACTAAAAAGGAAGGTAAACCACAATGGTCAATTGGTACCCTTCTCCTTACGACCCCAACCCCTTACGACGAGACTGCACCTTGACGCGGTGTGATGGCTTGTGTGCCTCCATGGCCCCGCGAGCTACACAGGATGGCTTTTCACAGCCGGAGATCCAATCATGCCTGAAAGGTCAACGGGTAGAGGCCAGACGAAGCTCAGTCTCACAAGCCAGCTGCTTGGGCACCCCCTCGTTCTTTCTTCTATCAACACCCGCCCCTGGAGAGGTCACTCCAGTAAAAAAACACGGTGAAGGGCAATTTACCGGTCAAAAAAACCCGCTAGATGGACGTACGATACGACAAAGCGCGCAAAGGACGCTCGCAAAGCCATTCCATCGGATTCAAGATACGACAAAGCGCGCAAATCCCTTAATCGTTCAAAATACGACAAAGCGCGCAAATCCCTTAAACGCCAGCTCATCAAGAGTCTGAGGAACGACCGCTCCCTTAAACGCCAACTCATCAAGAGTCTGAGGAATGACCGCGAGAAGTGGTGGGTAGGAAGTGTAGAGAGATGGAGAAGGCTGCGGCTATTGGTAATAAGCGCAACCTTTTTCGTTTAATTAGGAGTACAGGACCAAGGAAGGCAGGCGTAAGTGAGGT